CTGTTTACTACTGTTGACCAGCCCAGTCCTAAGGATCATTAAAGACCTGAACACCTCTGTGGACCAGCCTGGACCTCTGGATAACTTAAAATATATGACCATTGGTTCTGGAGGATCCTGGTTCCCATAGAACTGATTCCTGTAGACCTGGTCAAGCAGGTCTATGGGAACCGGTCCTTTTAGTGCCTTCTAGGTCAACAATAAACTGACATAAAAACAAATGGCCAAAATATTTATATTTTAGAAGTTTTTTTTAAATAATTGACCAGATATTGAATTTAGAATCTAGCAGTAGTCACAGCTATGATTCGTTTTGTTCTGTCGCTCTGGTTTTGATCTCCCAGATCTGAACCTACACTGTAAATAAAGTAGCCCTGAAGTTTAGTACTTCCAGCTATAAACAAAGAACCAAACATTTTATTACAAAATGTTTGTAAAATGTTGCACTGATGATGACTGGATTGAGTTTTCAATAGCAGTGTTTTGCAAGGATTCACCCTCACATCAGTAGACCCTAAGGATGAGGACAGGGTGTGGTAAAGGTGCTCGTTGAGGGTGGGGGTGTTACATTTCCATTAAGTTTTGGTATCATGGAAGAGCACTGGTTTCTGCACTGAACTCAACCACACACCACAGTATCTCCTTACACATTCTGTTTTAAAGGTCATCTCTGGACATGAGACCTCAACTGAAGAACCTGCCTGTTGTAGACGTAGCTCAGTTCACTGCACATGACTTTATTTTAGACACTAAGATCTCGAGCTCTTGCTACAAATATGCTTATGTTCGCTGAAGGACGTTGATGTGACTGTGTCATAAACATGACGGAGACTCTGCGTTTGGTTTGTTGAGCAGGTGATTACCTGGAGAAGATGTGGCCCGGACGAGATGTAACAGACATTAAAAGTAAGGGTGGCCATTAGTATCTACAAAGTTGGGTTTTAGTGAAAATACCTGTTTTAACACAATTCCCTTTGTTCCAGTTGAGAGGGACAGCATAGCAGACTTCTGCATGCTGGGACAGAGACCCCCTCCTCACCTGGCTGGTCTGGCTCAGCTCAGTCACCTTAGTGGTGGTGGTCCCGTCCTCAAAGCCGGATCTGCTGATCCACAGCTGCCCTCGCAACCACCTCAGCAGCCTCCTCCTCCCCAGCTACAGCCCTCACCTCATGGCCCCCTTCACCACAGCCCTCCGCTCCGTACGGGACAGGCACCACCCCCGCCACCACCGCCTGGCGCTCTGCAGCCCCTGCTGGGACCAGGTGGGCTCCTTTCCCCTCAACTGTCCCCACAGCTGGTTCGCCAGCAGCTCGCCATGGCCCACCTCATCAATCAGCAGCTGGCGGTGAGCCGCCTGCTGGCCCACCAGCACCCCCAAACCCTCAACCAGCAGTTTCTCAACCATCCTCCGATCCCTCGGGGGTCATCCAAGGGTGGGATCGACCATCCAGGGAGCAACCCGTCGGCCTCCGAGGTCTCATCTGAAATCTATCAGCAGGTCAGGGATGAGCTAAAGAGAGCCAGCGTGTCCCAGGCCGTGTTCGCTCGGGTGGCTTTCAACCGCACGCAGGTAGGCGCTCAACACGACGGCCTCAGGAAGTAAACTGAAACTAGAACGTCTAAAATTAGAAACATTGCATTCTGTATCTCTGAACTCCTAAATACTCGTTAAGCTGTCTAAATGAAGTGATCATAGTTCACAACACTTCAGGTGAGGGGATGATTACTACAACTACTGACTTCACCGATGGTCGTTCTTCATCCCACTGTTCACCCGTCTCATGGAGGGAGGTGTACAGAGGCATGATGGGGTTACGTGCTGGGTCTTTGAGCCTTCCTCACCATCGCAGCAGCAAAAACACCTGATGCTGTGCTAAACTGGTTACTGCATGCCCCATTAGATCCACCAAGGTGGCTCATAGACCTACTGGTCCAGAAGCCAGGTGTGTTTGCATCACCTTTGTGTGTCGTTGTACGGGTGCAGGCATTTCTGGCAGCATTCAGTCATTTAAACTATGGTAAATAAAATTAACTTTATTCTTTTTTTCTGTTTTTGGTAACCCAGTCGAGTTAGGCTAACAAACTGCATTCTTAAAAGATTTGTCTTAGCTTTATCTGTTTAATATAAGAATTGTTTTACATTATTAGTGTTGGACGTGTCTCGTACGTCCTTATATACCGTTTCTTTTTATACTTTATATCTTTGCAATTTTTGGGTGTAACTTGGACCCTGAGTACACAGTTTTGTTCCACCTCATGTGCCACATGTGGTGCGAATGACAATAAAGAACCTTGAACCTTGAACTAAGAGCAGCTGCCGCAGGTTTACATGCACTCATCATGGGCATGACTGTCATTAATCTAGAGCGTTTGATGATTTATTTAAACCATTCTTTATTTCCAGAGTGGATTGTTGATTAATGCAACATAAAATAATGGGCCAAATGTATGCATTCAAGATCAAACATGCACCCCCTCCCAATAATATGAGGTTAAATGTCTATGAGCAAGTTTCACCTGGACCACAGGCTGGTTGTTTCCATCAAAAGCTTCTGGTTGATATTTTAATGTTCTTTTTGGCAGAGTTTATACAGTTGATTTACATTTGTTGCTTCCTCGCCTCTGACCCGGGGATAATTTAAAAAGTTTCAAAAAGAACAAGATTGTGGCTTTGGGAAGAAACCAGCTCTGTTATGCGTTTTTAGGATTTGATTTGAGAGTCAGTTGTAGACATTGGAGACACTTTGTGCAGTGAAACAGCCCCACAGCATGATGCTACCAACACCATGCTTGACAGCTGGCAGAGTGATCTTATGTTTGAAAACCTCACAACTCCTCCAAACATGCTTCTTGTCATTGTACCCAAATGGCTCAAGCTTAGTCTCGTTTGAAAATAAGACTTTGTTTTCCAGAAGACATTTGTCTCGTCCTGGGTACCTGCAGATTTTAGTCGGCTTAGAAGTGTTGCTTCAGGAGCACATGCTTACTTCTTGGTCTTCTCAGTCCTTGGTGATGTCAGATTGTCTTCACTGTGGACACGGACACTGGTGTTCCACAAGTTTCCAGTTCGTGGCAGCCTTGAACGTGGGTGACTCCTGGGTATGACTTAGACATCTGAACTAATTTCATTTTATCTGAGGGGGAGGAATGAGTATTTACCAATCCAGTGTGAGATGTTAAATCAAGAGAAACTACCAAGGAACTACCATTCCTTGACCAAGTCAAGGAATTGGAAAAAAATCCCAATAAATTTTTAAGGGTTCAAGCCAGCAGAGGCCGGAAAACGCAACTGCAAAATAATCAATATACTAACTTCCATTTTGATGTGTGGCTACATCTCAGCGTTAGAAAGATCCCAATCTAAAATTGGGTTGCCATGTCAGAATGCAATCCAGAAAAACATAATCTATAAAACTACAAGCATTGATTTTTCCAGTCCCTCAGTGAAGGGGGACTTCGGTGAACCACATATTTCTGTGGGTGGAGGGGGCGAGATTTAAAACTTGTTAACACATTTAAAATGTCAGCTTTTATTTTGAAAGCATTAACCAGTTCAAGCACAGATGTTTCTGGAAACTATTCCAGCTGCTTGGTTACACTAGAAACATTTGTGCACAGTATGGACTGGAGGTTTCCCATTTAAACTAGGCAACACCACCAGTGGTCATGGAGAATGGCAGGCCTAAATGTGTTTGTGCTTCAAGGTGGAGGTGGGAGTGCATCAAGGATCTGCTCTGAGCCCCTTCTTGTTTGCTCTGGTGATGGTCCGACTAACAGATGAGGTCAGGCAGGAATCCTCGTGGACTATGATGTTTGCAGATGATATTGTGATCTGTGGTGAGAACAGAGAACAGGTGGAAGAGAACTTGGAGAGGTGGAGGTATGCACTTGAAACAAGAGGAATGAAAGTCAGTTGTAGTAAGACAGAGTACATGTGTACTACAGAGGTTTGGACATGTCCAGAGGAGGGACAGTGTTTTGGACATGTCCAGAGGAGGGACAGTGGTTTGGACATGTCCAGAGGAGGGACAGTGGGTATATTGGTAGAAGGATGTTAGAAATGCAGCTGCCAGGAAAAAGACAAAGAGGAGATATATGGATGCCGTTAGAGAGGACATGGAGGTAGTTGGAGTGAGGACAGAGGACACAGAGGACAGAGTGAGGACAGAGGACACAGAGGGCAGAGTCAGATGGAGAAGTATGACTCGCTGTGGAGACACCAGAAGACAGAAAAGCTTGGAGAAGAAAGACGGTTTAGACGGGCAGAAAAATCTGCTGAGACCTTAGGTCCTCATATAGTCCTGATATGTTCTCCTCCTCATCTTACCAGTTGTGCTATGGATGAGATTAATGCAACATCAGAGTCAGTAGCATGTCTGCATTATTGTGTAGAGATCAAAATCTATAAGCGGCGTGGGTCAATCTGCAGTGGTCTAAAGTGGATCAATCAGACCCTACCATCTGCTGAGTTGAGTTTGTCCTGTTTGTGCAGGGAACATAATTTACTTCACAATAAATCATCTGTGTTTCTGCCTAATTTTATGAAACTGCCACTAATTAGACTGTGACTGACTGGTGTAGGCACGCCTGGATTATAATCGGGTGGTAATCTGATTTATGGAGAGGAGGGCTTGATGCATTCTGACAGATGAGATGAAAAATTAACTCTCAGTTTCATCTGGTTCCCAAGGCTATCAAAAAAGGATGATGTCTCAAACTGTTCGGTAACATTAATTATACACGACGATAGAAAGTGTAAAGAAGCTCGGCTAAATATTTGATGGGCTAGTTTATGTTATGGAAATGATGCAATGTGAAGTTAACCGTGGACGCTCGTTGTTCAGGGTTTGCTCTCAGAGATCCTGAGGAAGGAGGAGGACCCTCGGACAGCCTCCCAGTCTCTGCTGGTCAACCTGAAGGCCATGCAGAACTTCCTCAACCTGCCTGAGAGTGAGAGAGACCGCATCTACCAGGAGGAGAGGGAGCGCACCATGAACCCGTCTGTGGGCCTGCCTCCGTCCAACTCCTCCAACCCTGGCACGCCACGACTCCCCCAGGTTAGAAAGTGGTTTGCGTCATTGTTGCTTGTGGTTCAAAATGGTTGCCACTATAACTAAATGATCAAGAAACATACCAAAGTGGCTGATGTTGTGTGTCTGTGTGGGCAGAAAGTGTGGGAGCGGAGCCTAGAGGACCAGATAACCCCTGATACCTGGGCCACCATTTGGAAGAACAAGACCAAGATCTCCAACACTGTGAGTTATCTTTAGCCTCTGTAGCTCCCTGCTGCACAAAGTCAACGTAGAGCTGCTTCAAACCCTTCACACGTGCACTCTGTGAACATAAAGCACATCAACCTCCCCACACCACCTTACTGTGTTCCAAACTGGACCTCCGTTTCTCCTTTGCAGCCAAGGGGGTCTGTTCATCACGAGCTGAAACTTGAAAAATAACATTTATTTATTTATTAACTTTTCTTTAACTAAACTCCACTGAGATCACAGATCTCTTTTCAAGGGTCACCTGAAGGCAGCCGAACATTTATGTTTCTGGACTGTGGGCGTACCTGGACAAAACCCATGCAAACAACAGGAGAACATGCAAACTCCACACAGAAAGACCCAGGTCCAAACCGGGGGCTTGAGCTCAGGACCTTCTTGCTGTGAGTCAAAAATTGGGTGTCCACATCCAAATCTAAGATGGCCACCGCTCACTCCAATCAGAGGTACAGCACAGATTGAAGAACTGGGAGACAAAGTTAGAGAGGACACACTGAGATGGTTTGGACATGTCTAGAGGAGGGACAGTGGTTTGGACATGTCCAGAGGAGGGACAGTGGTTTGGACATGTCCAGAGGAGGGACAGTGGTTTGGACATGTCCAGAGGAGGGACATGGTTTGGACATGTTCAGAGGAGAGACAGTGGTTTGGACATGTCCAGAGGAGGGACAGTGGTGTGGATATGTCCAGAGGAGAGACAGTGGTTTGGACATGTCCAGAGGAGGGACAGTGGTGTGGATATGTCCAGAGGAGGGACAGTGGTTTGGACATGTTCAGAGGAGGGATGGTGGTTTGGACATGCCCAGAGGAGGGACAGTGGTTTGGACATGTCCAGAGGAGGGACAGTGGTTTGGACATGTCCAGAGGAGGGATGGTGGTTTGGAGAGAATTGTGTTTTGAAGCAATTTAAAAACTAGAAAACCCTCAAATGTTTGGGGTGGCTGAAGTTTATTTGGGGTGGAGACTCCAGGTGTGGGGCTCCACCACTGCACCTGGTGGTGGATAAAATGTCTCTTCACTCATGATCCATCATTGTGTGCAATAAAACCTCCCCTGTCCTCCACGGTGTGACTCCTGCCCACTACATCTTGCACCAAAAACATTTAGGTTTACTTCCATTCCCAGTTCAATTCCCGTCCAGAAAAACATTCATCTCCAGATCTCCAAACATTCATGGTTCAGACCCTCAGAGTCGGGCGTCATCGGCGTATCGACACACGATTAGTTTGCACCTAAGAAAGTAAACTTCGAGAGAATAAACACTGCACACTTTTGTCTTTTTTCTTGGCGTGATGTTTTTCATCACGTGTGAACAAAAGCATAAGTTTGTACCTCCTTCTTCACGAGCTGGGGGAGCAGCTGCTCGCTACGTGTCTGCACAGTAAAGCTGAAGATCGACCACTTCCTGGTTGTTCTTGTTTATCAGTAAACAAAAAGATGCTCCTCTGAGCCCATGTAAAAACCAGAAAAGACTCTTGTTTTGTAAAAAAGCACAACGTGATTTATCCGTAAACATGTTGCAATCCAAACAACTTGTTCTACCCAACAACTATCAGATCAGGGAGGCCTTAAATCAACCCTTATTTTCACTCTTTATAAGAGAATAAGGATCTGTCCCAGCATTAGATACTATCGTGGACTCCTAATCAGATGATTGGCTCATTTTTGTTGGGAACACCAACGTAGTGAGCGAGGAATGAGCGGAACGATAAGATTCCTCCTGTGATGTCAGAGCAAACAGGCCGTTCTTATTATGGCTGCCTGAAATTATCTCCACATCATCAGTGAGGGAATGCAAGCGAGCCGGTCCGGACGTGTCCTCTGGACAGCTTCAAACCACGAGCTCTCCTACAAATCAAAGACTAAAGGTGGAGAGCTTCATAGCTCTGGTCTGTGAACATGTGGAGACGTGCTGCAGGTGTGATCACCAGCTGATAGCCTTTCCTCTCGTTAATATCTGTTGCTCTTCGTGGTGATGACGCATTGATCTTGTCGCCCAGCCGAAGCCGTCTGGCCCGAGCCCGGACGCCCCGCTGAAGCTGGAGTCTCTGGTCAACATCACGTCCGGCATCTACGATGAGATCCAGCAGGAGATGAAGAGGGCCAAGGTGTCGCAGGCGCTGTTCGCAAAGGTGGCCGCCAACAAGAGCCAGGTGAGTCTTCTTCGAAGCTCCGCCCCTAAAACCAAGAGGCGTTTGGCTTTTTGGCTTTACAGCTTCTGCTCAGGTCACCATGACGCCTACGGAATAAAAAAACATTTATTTATTGTCTGAATGTTTCCATGATGTATTGTCCTCACAACTGAGATCCGTTTTCCTTCCGTTCAGTTTTCAGCTCGTAACTCTTCAATCAAAACGTTCGGCTCGTTCAGGACGTTCCTGCTGGGACTTTTAATATTTGAGCAATTTTTACTTTTTGAAACATCTAGCTTTGTCGGCCATGTTTTCCTCGTCGCTCTCTTCAAACCCTTCAGCTGTTTCACTGCTCATTTCAGCTTTTCTTCTGCTTCAGCTGTTTTCAGCTTCTTTCTGCTCATTCAAGTGTTTTATCATCTTTCTGAAAAAAATCTGTTATTTTCTGCTGTTTGCCAATTATAAGATAAATATTTATCGTGTTATAAGAAAATTAATTTCCAAGCTTTTAGCTTTTTTGTAGCTTTTTGTTTTTTTGCTAATATCACTTAGTTTTTTTTTTTTTACTAAATTCAGATATTTTTAACAGCCTATATTATATATAACCAATATTTTGCAGTAAAAACTTTTAGGTTTACTTCATTCTCTGTTCAGGTCCAGTCCAGAAAAACACTCGACTCCCAAAATACAAACATTCACTCTTCAACCCCTCAGACGGGACGCCGGTGTACCGACCGTTAAAACTATTAAAGACCTGATTTTTTTTTACAATTATTATTTGAATATTTTATTTATTTATTTTTCTTTTATAAATGGCAGATTTCAGGCAAAATTTCTGAGTAATAACATTAAAATATTCCAGAGTATTTATATATATATATATATATATTACTGTAACTGACTGGGGTGAGTGGTGGTGCAGAGGCTAGAGAAGCCTGTGATCGGAAGGTCACTAGTTCAACTCCCCGTACCAACAACATAAAATAAAATGCAGATGTGAAAGGTGAAGCACCCACATCTGCCCCACTCTGGACCTTTGAGCAAGGCCCTTGACTCCCCCATCTGCTCCCCAGGCACCCTAGTTGTCAGCTCTCTGCTCCACACAGAGGCTGTGGCAGCTCGGTGGTCTGGTTGTGTGAGGAAGAGCATCCGGCGTAAAAACAGTCACCTAGTCTTGGTGTGAGTTGGTTCTCTGTGGTGACCCCTGAAGACGGAGCAGCTGGAAGAAGAAACTGGTTTTTGTTTTTGTTCAGAAATAAAAAACAAAAAAAAACTTTTCTCTTTCATGGCACTTTTGGAACGAGAGCAGCGTATTGAAGGGGGCGGAGTCAAACACTCTAAAGTAGCAGTCCCATTACTCTAATAATAATACATATACATATATATATATATATATATATATATATATATATATATATA